AATGTGAGCTGTAAGCAAAGGAGTGCCACCTAGCTGGTCCTTTGCCTGGCCCCAACCTACCCCCAGTGACAGATGGGCTGTCAGATGCCAGTGTTTGATTTAGAACTCTCCAGAACAAACCGAGGAGTGCAATCTCACAGGAAATTGAGGGTATAAATTTACGAGGGACCGGAGAGTTTCATTTCAAATACCTTTAGAGTTTCAGCAGTTGCTGGGAAGTCTCTCCTCTGTAAGGTCGTTTTATTTTTTTCCAAACTTCCTTAATAGGTCACTCGTTCTCATTGTCACAGAATTATAGGGGGCAACCCCTGGGCATCTGTCATCATTCATACCCGGATCACTGAAAGGTTAAACTCATTTCCCAGAGACACACTGCACATCAAGAAGGAGTGTGGTTTATGCCCACAACCTCATACTGAAGCCGTTTCTGGGAAGATGGGGAGGCTGAAGTCTTCTTCTGGCTGAGACCCAAGCTATCAGTCTCCACAAGGTTGCGGAGGACATCCGCATAATGCCACCTCTGTTCCACTTTTCCTCTTACTCAAACAGGATGACTTTTCCAGCACAAATATTCTTTAAAAAATTTAAAAATAAATAAAAGCAGGGCGGGAAAGAGACAAGAGGGAGACCTTGGATCTCCCAGAAATGACAAGATTCTGGCATGAGGAAACACATTAGTCAGAATTTTAATTATTGATCTCATGAAGACTTGTAGATGGATGAACTCCTCAGAGCAAAGGCCTTGCGGCCGGTCGGCCATGCTGTTGGTCTCCAGCTGAGCACAGTGGATGGATAAAGCTGAGTTCTGTAGGGAGCCAGAAGTGAAGGGCTTTGTGAAGGACTCTGGTGGCAGAGAAGAGAGGAAGATAGACTTTCTTTCTGTCAGCTGCCAACCTTAGGGCATTGGTCACCAAGATGGATGGCAGCTTCCCTCTTGAATTTTCTCCCTTTATGAGAATCAGTGCATTAGATTAGGAAAAAGAAAAGTGAGCCAGCCAGGATGAAGGGTACTGAATGACCAATGTCTCATAACACTCAATGGATCCAAGGCAAGAAGGGGGAAATCTTAGATGGAGTCGGGGATCTAAGAATAACACATGAAGGACTTCCAAAATCCTCCTGACTCAGTGTCCCAAATGCTTGGGATCACAAGCATGTGCCAACACGCCCAGCCAAAAACACATCTTTATCTATATGGATTCACTCATCATAAAAGTGACTTCAAGACTGAAAGTGTTACTAAACAGAAAAAGGGTCATTTCCTGATCAGAGAGATGCTATTGCATTGGGAAAACATAACAGGTATATATGGTGTGCCCCTAATCACAAAGCTTCCGAAGACACAGAGTGGTGAAGTCGTCTCATCGTTTTATTATGCTGTGTGTGTGTGTGTGTGTGTGTGTGTGTGTGTGTGTGAGAGAGAGAGAGAGAGAGA